TGCTTCTCTTTTTGGTTATATTGATATTAATTCATCTCATGGCTCACTCATCCCCTGTCCAGGCTTTGGAGAATAGGGTGCCCCAATGTTGGCTTATAATTTTATATTTTAGCAACTTGATAGAGTATATAGAGCCCCACATTGGGTGTTAGGAGGCTTTGAACCTGTGTTTGCTTCTCACTGGTGTTGGGGCCTTAAAAAGCTGCTTTCCTTCTCTAGGTTATTATTATCATTTTTTAACCTGTGGGATGAAAGAGGTGGTTCAGGATTCTTCTGGATCCCTTTGGCAGCCTGGTGAAGCCTCTGTGGAGCCTTCTGTAAATGACATTTTAAATACATAATCAAATGTATAGACTACCAAGGAAGCCATAATACTGAAATCCCAGACATAAAAGTAATAGATTTGTGCCATGATGAAATATATGTGCATCCTTTTAACACATAAAATGATACAATGCTATTCCAATTTTGAATTATTGCAATTATTGGCAAGCACAATGTTATTTTAAATTGTCTATAATGATTCTAATGTTATATTAAACTATCTGGAATGTACAGGGAAAATTGTCACAGGTGCTGCTAATATTGTGATTCATGATTTATAATTAGAAGAAATGCTAACTTTAGTTAGAGGTTAGTGAAAATGAGAATGTCATTATTTTTCTCACCCAAGTTTATGGGAATTTCTGTGTATGTCCATGGTCTTCTACGTATATCAAAGATATTTAGCGCATATGATGGGAGGCACATTTATCAAAGGTTTTTAACTCATGTCTTTTTGCTATAAGACAAGTCATAGTTGTCCTGTACGTGGAAACACAAGCAGACCTGCGGCACTAACCTTAGGAGCCATTGTAAGCATAAAATCACAAAAAAGCCCGACATTTCAAAAACCTTCCCAGTACACCAAAGCAAGCAAGCAAGCAAGCAAGCAAGCAAAAAAAGGACCCTTGTTTATAGTACTCTTAGGAGAACTAAAACAAGAAAGCAGAACAGAACCTTGTTCAAGTTTACCTGGGAATGTATTGGGCAGTTAAAATTTTTAGCTTCTCTATGTACATCCACCAAAGATTGTGAAAGTGTTGCAAGTATTGATTTTTTTTTTTTTTGGTTAGAAATGATTTTTAGCAAGTTAGTGAATTTTCAAATATAGGCATTGTGAATAATGAGAATTATCTCTATGTGCTAATATTTCTGTTTGCACCTGTCTACTCGTAGTAATACTGACTCCTCTTTGCCTGTGAGCTTAATAGTTTCTTATTTAATTCCTCTGTTATTGCATCTCATTCACCAAAAGAAAAGAAAAAAAATACTAGAGCTGTTTTGTAAAATGGACTACAAATATAGTTATTTGCAATTCTTAGTGAAAAGATCCCTTACTTGTTCCAAATATTGTGACCTGGCTGTGAATATCAGGTGACCCAGATTAAACTCACAAACTTACTTGTGTTGGGAAAATGTCAGATTCATTGGGAGCTCATCCCAGGCTGGACGTGAGCTGGGCGTTCACCATGGTTTGGGAATTTTTTACCTATGAGATTAGAACCAGGATAAACCCTCATTGGTTATGACTGAGGATAACTTAGTTGCAGTTATCCACCTCCATCCACCTGCAAGATAAACTAGTTCAAGTGGACACCCAGTATTTTCCTGGACATCTCTGTTACTCTGTCTGAAGTTGTCTATTATTCTAATAGAAGGTTGTCATAATTGAAATCTGTCATCTAGGGAATGCATTTTAACATTCCACATCTTCAGACTAGTAAAGTAATAATATGCTTTAAAATCATCTTGAAGTGAACTTCTACTGGTTTCACTAAGACAAATCATATTTTATGTATGATAATTGGTGTGTGATTTCTTTTAGTCTTCAATGCAGGAAAATCAAAGTTACAATTTAAGATTGCACCTAGTTTTTCAAAGGAGATTCATTTCTCTAAGAAGAAAATTGGGAAGAAGGAAATTGATGGTAGATTTGGATCCATTTGTTTTACTCCAGTGAGTGAATTTTAATCATGAAATTTTTACATTTATTGAAGAATTGCATTAAAATTTAGAGAGTGAATCTTTCATCACTTGTACTTCGGTCCTTCAGGGAAACATATTTTTTTCTGAAATGCCTTTTTCATTAGGAAATGATAGATTGAATTATTTCTACTTCTTTTCTAAGAGTTAGCCTATGTAAGGCGCTAAGGTATATGGTGGCATCGGTTTTAATTTGGTATAGATTCTTCCATATCTGTAGTTTGAATTTTAATAAAGCAGTTGATGCTTTAGAAGATGTAGGCAAAAGAATCTGGTCTTCAAGAAAATGGGAGACTATTATATTTGGTGAGCATGGTGAGCTCTACCACCCATCATTCTTGCCCTTGTGCATTCTCCTCCTCATTGACTCTAGACTTAGCCATCAAACTTGTTTTGGCACATGAGACCTTAGCAAGCATGATGCAAGCAGAGGATTGATAAGCACTTAGCCTTGTTCTCTGGAATGTTCCTTCTTGGAAGCCAGTCTTGATGCTGTTTAAAAGTTTACATTAAACTATCAAATGATGGGCCATGTGGAGAGAGTCCCTGAAAGTTGAGAAGCCATCTTGAATATTCCATCCCTATTCAAACTCCCAGCTGAATGCAGCCAAATGAAAGAACCTCAGCTACAACAAATGTGTGGAGAACAGAATAATTGCCTAGCCAAGTCCAGCCAACCCAGTCAATTGTGAGAAAACATAAATCATTATTGTTTCAAGACAGTAAGTTATATAGTGGTTAGATAGCAATGGATAACTGAAACCATGCCATACTTCAGAAAGTCTCCCTGCAAAAGGATATCTTCTGAAGAGATCTTGTGCATGTCTTGGTTCATAGAAGGCTGCACTTTATGGTGCTCCAACATCATTAAAAGCAGGAAGCTTGACTGTGTGTGTGTGTGTGTGTCTGTTAAATTGTGGTATCATTGATTCTACCTTTGTAATTGAGTGCCTTTCATGCAATATTTATGTTTTCCTGAAGGGCATATATAAGGAATCTACCTTTAAAAGTAATTGATCTTTTATTCATTCACATTATGAGAGATACTGAAAAGTATAAAGAAAAAAGCAGAGACCCAGGATCTTATCACTTAACGGCCAACTTTAGGAAATTTTAAATCTATAGACAGTTAACATAAAAAAATTTACTTGTTTTTTTTTTTTTAATTTATTTTCCCACCAAAGAAACCTTTTAAGGACTACAGACTTCATGCATTTCATAAGTACAACTTTAGAAATATAGTGATTCTTCCCACCATACCTGCCATCCCGCCCACCCTCCCACCCCTCCGTCTCCTCCCTCTCCCATTCCCAGTCCCATTCTCCACTAAGATCCATTTTTTATTAACTTTATACACAGAAGTTGGTTCTTTGAAAGCTTAGTGTATAAATCAGATTAGATCAAACAGAGTATAGACCCTCTGATGTCCATATGAAAGTGATTATAAGTATGGACATAATACATAGCTTCTTGAATTGGATTTACAGTTTGTGATGCTCATCAATCCATTTTATTACCCACACTACTCTAAGATTGCTTCTTCTAAAAGGCAAATCTTTGTCTTGGTTTCCGCCTATTTAATACCTACACACCCTCTCTAGGACAAGTCGTTCTCAGCTAGGGACAGTTCTCAACCATGGGGGATTCTGGCAGTGACTGAAAACATCTTTGACAGTACTGTGGGTACTATTGCACTGTGATGTACTATCTGTAATAGGGAAGTTCCTGTTATCTAGTGATGAGAGCCAGTAATGCTGCTAAATATCTTGTTCTGGTCAGGACTGTTTCTCCACAACAAGGAGTTAACCAGCCCAGAATGTCAGTAGTGTCACTGTAGAGAATCCTCACTGTAGGGTAAGGCCCAAACGCCTACATGTCACTGCCCTTTCTGACCTCACATCTCTGACCTCTGGCCTCTTACCTTTCATACATGCTCTTACAGGATGCCAACAGCTTCTTGTTTTCTTATCTTCTCACCTTTGTGGATCTTTGTTTATGTTGTTCACACAGTCAGGGAGGGATACCCTTTCTCCAGAGGTAATTAATGTCCTCTGGATTTTATCACTTTGCTAGTTGCTTTACTTACCTGTTGTCTCTACAAACGTCTAAGTGTTCAAGGTGGGTTTGGATCAAGCCACGTTGCTGGTAAATATTTGAATGAAGGAATGAATGTTTGCATGAGGCCACTACTGGAAACGGACTGAAGCTGTGTGTGTCAATTGAAGTGTGTGGCCACCGTAGCCAGTTTTCTTTTCTGGTGGGTGGTTTGTTCATGCAGTGGCACTGCTGACACCATTCTCCCTGTCCCACACAATTTTGAGTCACTGCATCTTATGGTGATTCTTCCTCAAGTCCTTGCCTCTTAAATCTTTTAGCAGGGATCAACTCCCTGTTGGGCTTAGGGGAGTAGAGAGACCTTTCAGACATGAAAGGAATTGGGAGTCAAAACTTTGTGCTCCAGCTCTGCAGACTAGGCTGGGAGAAAGAGATTTTTGATAAGTGAATGGATCAATACACTTTCTTTTGCCCCAAGCCAAATTAAGGTTAATTTAGCATAATACGGACTAGTTACTCTCAATCTTGTCTGCATATCTGTACCACCTGGCTAGCTCCTCAAAAATTACTATTATTTGAGTCCAGCTTCAACAGATGTATCTCTAATCTTGGGAATATGCTGGGTCTTGGAATTTTTAAGTTTCCCAAGTTATTCTATTATATACTAAACTTTGTGAACTGTTGAATGAATAAGCCAATTAGATAGGTTATAGTTATTCATGTTAACATTGCCAAAGTGATTTAATGTTTCCCTTGTTGGTAATTTAATATTCTTAACAATTTTATAATTTCAGTAAAATATTAAATTATTCCTTTGACTTTTTAAATGTATCTTTTAATAAGATAAATAAATGTGCAACTTTTTGGTAAATAAACTTCACTGTTTTCCTTTCCTTTTCCTTCTTGACCCTGAAACTCAGATGAAATATCAAAGAGGCAGTTGACCATTCTGACCAGTCTGCCTGTTGGAGGAAGTTGGAAGGAAACCAGTTTTAGTGTACCCATGAAGGTAAAATTAGGACTTTCTTCTAGATTCCTGTTCTGCTTCTCCTCTTTCCAGTACACACATTTCTTTGTGCAACAGTGGGAAAAGCAAACATGGTCCCTAATGGTCTTTCCAAGAGGCACATGGTTGCGCTTAGATTTTTTTTTTTTTATTACAGATGTTACTTTTGTTATGAGTGTGCTAGGTAAGGAAGAAAAGCAAAACAACTTTTGAATCCCTCTGATCATCGTTCCCTGTCACTGACTTTCCCTGCATCTCCCCACCCCCTCCCACATGCTTTTGATTTCCTTGTCCTTTGTTTCCAGTTCTTACTGAGAGGAGGTCTTAACCATCTGTCAGAGAGACATGCCCTTGAGTGGCAGATGGAATGGTTCCTGTCATTATTTAAAATATGAGAGAAAGAACAGTCTTGGGGCCAGATTGTGATGCAGCAGGTTAAGACTGCCTGCAATGCTGACATCCCATAGAAACACTGATTTGAGTCCCCTCTACGCCAGTTTCGATCCACCTTCCTGCTAACGTACCTGAGAAGGGAGCAGAAGATGGCAAAACTACCAGTCAAGTGGGAGACTGGATGGAGTTCTTAGCTCATTGTTTAGGTCTGACCCATCCCCAGTCATTACAGCCATTTGGGGAGTGAACCAACGGATGGAAGCTTTCTCCCCAACCCCATCCCCACCCTCCATAGCTCTGCCTTTCAAATTATATTTAAAAAAAATAATTAAAAAAGAAAGATCAATCTCATTCACTCCATGGCACCGCATATCCAGCACTGATTTATTTTTTTTCTTTTAGAGTTAGTTTATGAAAGTTCAAAACCCAGTGACTTTTGACACTGAATAGGTAACCACTGCTGTGGAATAGCTGCTTTTGGCAGAAGGCAATAGCTTGCAAGACAGGAATATAATCATTTTAAGCTGTAGAATTGTAGGTTACTATATTATGTTTTATTTCAAGAGGTAATGTTAGAGAAGGGAGAAATTGTCAAAATTATATATATATATATATGTCAAAATACAACTTTCCTATTTCTTCACAGTGTAAACATGTCAAAACATCATGTTGTACACTTAAAACAACTAAAGTTCAGGGAAATTCTTTTTTTCTTAAAGATTTATTTATTTATTTGAAAGAGTTACACAGAGAGGAAAGGCAGAGAGAGAGAGAGAGAGAGAGGTCTTCCATCCTATGGTTCACTCCCCAGATGGCCGCAATGGCTGGAGCTGTGCCTATCCGAAGCCAGGAGCCAGGAGCTTCTTCCCAGTCTGCCACGTGGGTGCAGGGGCCCAAGGACCTAGGCCATCTTCTACTGCTTTCTGGGCCATAGCAGAGAGCTGGAAAGGAAGTGGAGCAGCCGGGCCTCCAACTGGCACCCATATGTGATGCCGGCGCTTCAGGCCAGGGCGTTAACCCACTGTGCCACAGCGCCGGCCCCTAAAGTTCAGGGCAATTCTTTTAAAAAAATTTTATTTGTCTTAATTTATTTGAGATGCAGACAGAGACAATGGCAGACAGAGATTTTCTATCTGCTAATTCAGTCCCCAAATGTCCAAATAGCTGGGGCTGGGCCAGGCTGAGGCCAGGGTCCATGAACTCAATCCAGGTCTCCCACATGGATGATAGGGACCCGAGTGCCTCCCAGAGTGCAGATTAGCAGGAAGCTGGAATTGGAAGTGCATCCAGGACTTGACTGAAGGCACACTCCAGTAGGAGATGCAGGCTTCCCAAACAGGGTCTTAACCGGTGAGCCAAATGCCTCCCAGGACAGTTCTTTAATTCGTCAGTTGATTATCATTTGTGGAATGCCCTTGCCCTGGTTCTTTCAGTAGGTAAGGGGAATGAGGGAGTGAAAATGATTTGCCTAGGAAGAAAGAAATATATGGATAGAACAGGAATGGAACTACAAAGCTGGACTCTTTTTTTCTTTTTATTTCAGGTGCTAATTTGTGAGAAATTTCCAATCTTGATTTCTTTTTATCAGTCTTCATGTATTGTACATATATCCTGTAATGGATTAGGGAAGTAATCAATAGGTATTTATTCACAATCTAGAAGTTGTAAAATAATTCATTATATTTGCAGTTTCAAATCTAGGAAATACGATTGAAAATAATAGTCTAATAGCCATTTGGATGATAGGTTAGAAGCTTAAGTTCTAAAGTTATTTTCTTCATAATGACAATAAAAGTGCTTTTTTTGTTCTTGGATTAGATAAGTTTAAAAAAATACTCTGAACAATGGAGTTTTATGTAAGTCCTAGTACTTAATGGGCCACATCATTTATGTCCCTTTTACATAGTATAAATTTTAGTCAACGTTAAACCTGAACAAGAAACTTAAAGAACCTTTTATCTAAATTAATTAGACAGATGAAAACAGTGAGTCATGGGGAGGTTGGCTTGTTTTCTGAGTTTCACAGAGTTTGTCCAAAGCCAGAGTGGTGACTTGAAGTCAAACTTTTGGACTCCAAATTGAGTACTTTGGAGTAGAGTGAGAACTATAGGCAGCATTTGTTACACATATTCTTCTTATTTCTCTCTTTCTATAGAGTTTATTTTCAGAAGTGTGGATTTTTATTTATGCATTTTCTTAGGTGGGCTTCTCCCAAAACTTTTTTTTTTTAATTATTTGACAGATAGAGTTAGACAGAGAGAGAGAGAGAGAAAGAAAGGCCTTTCTTCCGTTATTTCATCCCCTCAAAATGGCCTATCCGAAGTCAGGAGCCAGGAGCTTCCTCCTGGTCTCCCACGTGGTCGCAGGCGCCCAAGCACTTGGGCCATCCTCCACTGCCTTCCCGGGCCACAGCAGAGAGCCGGACTGGAAGAGGAGCAGTCGGGACTAGAACCCGTTACCCATATGGGATGCCGGCGCCGCAGGTGGAGCATTAGCCAAGTGAGCCACGGCGCCGGCCCAAAACTTGTTTGAGACAAGGATTGGAGTGCAGTCAGCTTATGTGGGAGGTGATCTTAGGAAGCACCAGGAGGGCAGCAGGAGAACTGAGGTAGGGAAGGAAAAGCTGCCAAGAAAACCTGTGCTGATCAGCAGATTCCACAGTGGGCAACGAGGCTCTCATATGCTGGGGACCATTCAGAGCCTGGCTAGCAGATGTTTCAGAGCGTCCCACTAGGCAAGTTAGAAGCTGGGCTATTTATTTATCAACTCTTGTGTTGCCATTTGAGGGCTTCTCCTAGAAGCTGCTGTTTCTAGCGCTTGTAGTTGAAAATCCCACTGTCAAGAGAGTCTGGGTTCCTAGAGTAAAGCCTCTTCAGTGTGCTTGGAAACTGAGTCAATGTGACACTAGAAGGATCTGGGTGGATCACTGGCAACTCCTGTCTGTACTAACTTGAAAGAAATGGGAAAAGATCAAAGTGGAGCTGCTACACAGTGTGAGTCCTGTATGACAGATACCTAGTCTGGAAGCTGTCTGCTTTTCTTCCATGTGCTCTTGAATCTGTAACTGAGATGCTGCATGTTCTGTTTGCCTCTCCAGAGCTACTTTGCAGTCTCCCTAGCCTGCTGTAGGCCAAGGGTGGGCAGGAACTGCTGCAATGGTTAGGTTCCTTGTCCTGTGATTTATAGATGAGTTCAGGCAGCAGGAGGCTCTAGGAGACACGAGAAGGAGGAGAACCATGGTCTCTTCCTGCCACCGTGCTCTTGGTTGTCTGTTTCCCCTTCCTGGAAGCTTCAGACACCATCAGGAGGTCTCCTCCTGTATCTTCAGTTCCTTCTTTTGGGCTCTTGTGGCTCTGTCCTGTCCTCTTGCCCCTGCAGGCCTAGGACTCAACATTCCCTGATTGCTTTCCCTAAACCCTGCTCATATCTGGTCAATGATGTCTTATGAAACTGTCTCACTTGCCACATAGCAGCGTTCCATCTGTTTCCTGCAGTCTCCCTGACAGAGGTGCTATCTCGGAGGCATTTGCTCTCTAGACAGACTTGGATGACGTGAAACAGCTAGCGATGTTATGAAGATATAAGACAATGAAGCATAAATTGTGCTTGAGCCCTAAGGACACCCAGCATGTAGGAAGCATTAACAGAAGAAGGGATACTTATTAGAGAAAACATTTTTGGAGGCGTGTCTTACTTTGTAACTGGTAATTTTTTTTTCTGCTCCCTAGGAGGCTCTCTCTGAGTAGTGAATTGAAAATTAGTTCTGTTCTTATTGTGACCATGCAGTTAATTATAATGTATTTAACTCTGTAAGATGGAATAATATGTGATTTACAGACAGAAGGATAAAATGGATCTATCCATCTGGAAATTTCACAGATTTGTCTCATGTATTTTAATTTTAGATAAGTAAATCTTTCCCTCTTAATTCCTTATATTTCTCATCTCTCTAATGGGTTCTAATCCATTTTTTGATAGCCATTTTTTAAGCTGGTGTGAAAGGCATTTCAGGCTGCTTAGAATAAGGCTATACAGTGGCAGAAAACACTCAACTCTGTGTGTACTTACAGAGGGCCCTTTGTGATTCAAGCACTTATGCTAAATACCAGGGACTCAATAATGAATAGTATTTGAACACTGCTTTCAAGGAACTCGCAATGTGTTGGGAAAATAGAAGTTCAAGCAAATAATTATTATAAATACTTTCAAGTATTATACATATAGAGAGAACTTTATGAGTATCTAAATGAGGGTGTAGTTAAGTCTGTCAAGAGAAGGCAGAGAGGTTGGTGACAGAAAAGGCTTTTTAGAATATGTGATGTTAAATTAGGTCTTGAAGGGTGATATTGAGCTTATAAGGGAGATAGGAAGATGAGTGGTAGGAAAGAAGCTATGGAATTTTCTGGTGGTTTGAAGACTCACTAAGGCATATGATTTGGACAAAATGCTGGTGGCCTTTGGAAGAATGCCTGGACTTGAGGCCAAGGGATAAAGTGGTAATCTCATCCTTAATACTCATTGTCACTTAAAATAATGCAGACTGCATATCCACTCTAAAAATATATGGGAATGTAAACAAAAACAAGAACATTGTCTTTAAAAATCTTATG